ATTTGACTCATTAAATAAACACCCAATTATTGTCTTGTTGCTTGTTTTGGCTAACAAAGTAAAACGTCCATGTTGTAAAACTATTTAAATAAAAAAAATATGTTTATTGTATAAAATTACACCACAGAGCGCAGATTGTCTTTATTTACTTACAAAGTTATAAAAACAGGCAGTAAGAAGCTAAGAGCACCATAATTTAATCACGGATACTTTAGGATTAAGAAATCACATTTTTCAGTTAATATAGAAGAATTTCAATCCAGTTGCCTTTACACTGCTGCTGCAGTTCATTAATGATTGTACAGTTTTGTTTTCAACAGATTGAACTTTAGACTTTGACTGGACCAATGGAGCAACTAAATAACCCAAAATTAGGTTATTTAAATCTTGAATGCACTGATTGTCCAGTTGATCTCTGTTTGGACCAAACTTCACTCCTTAATCTAATAAAATAACCACAACCTTAGATCACTTGGTATAAACGACAGTTCATGTATACTCAGTGATTTTAAACAGCCAAAGTCCTGTGGTTGCAGAACAACTTTAATATCTGCATTTGAGACGTAGAAATAGGTGTTTGGTTTTCTATAAACACTGAGCTTTGGATTATGGCCACTTCTCATCATTTTGGTCTAATCTATCCAAAGGACGTCGTTCTAGAAGTCTTATTTGGGTTAAAACTTGCAAACCTGTCATCCACACACAGGGGGAGTGGCAGCCTAGTGGTCGGGGCATATAGTTTGGAGTCCAAAGGTTCTGAGTTTGAGCCCCCCTCCCACAGACAGCCACTCTGGGTCCCTGAGCAAGACCCTTAACCCCCGATTTCTCCCCGTGCGCCCCACAATGGCAGCCCACTGCTTCCCAAGGGGATGGGTTAAATGCAGAGGTAAATTTCTCCAATGTGAGATCAATAAAGTTCACTTATTATTAGGGATGCACGATATTGGGATTTTGGCCGATATCCGATATGCGGATATTTTAAAACTCATGTAGCCGATAACCGATATCGATACCGATGTTAAAGCTGGACAAAAATAAGTAGTCATTGAAAATAGCAGTTTTGTTATCCATTTCTGACACTTTGAAAAATAATATACTTAAATATATTTTCATATGCTGATATCAAATAGATTTTTTAAAACGCGGTATCGATCTATTTTACTTTCAAAATCTCGTGAAATTTCATCGTTCTGTTACAAACTCTCGTGATATTTTGCAAATTCTTGTGAGATTTTGTTAGTAAAATAGGTCGATACCGCGTCAATATATCAACATATAAAAATATGGCCAAATTTCGTGAATTTTCGGGGGATTTGGTAGCATAACGATGACATATACTTCATTAGTAAAAGAGATTGATATGGTGTTTTTAAATGGCAATATATCAGCATATGAAGATATTGTGATATTTTAATGTATCAATATTTTTTCCCTCGTCTTTAGAAGTTTTTCAGTCTGTAAAAAATAAGTTTTTGAGGAAGAAAAAGAAGTTGTATTCATTATTATTTTTTTTAGACTTTAGAAACTCAGAAGCTGATCAAATATCGGGTTAAATATCGGTGGGGTGACCGATGTCCGATATTCAGTTTTAAGGCCGATACCCATAGGGGGCCGATTATATTGTGCATCCCTACTTATTATTATTCCACTTACCTTCATAACCAAGCCATACTTGTTTAGTGTTAGTAGCGACTAGTGTTGCACCGATACGGTGCCCTATTTGTCGGCGAGAGCCAAAAGTTTATTCAGCCATTGTCACCCATTCCAGGTAGGCAATAAAAAGTTCTACTGTATTCTCTTTGTATTAGTCTTTTTCCTGCTTCACAAAGGTAGGCAGCAGCTTGACAAAGCCATAATGGCAATTATTGTACATCCAAGTAGTATGCAGTTCTTCATATACCCACACATCAATTTCAAACAGGTGGTATCGGTATCAGCTAATACTCACAGCCAGGTATCGGTATCAGGGCCAAAAAATGGCATCAGTGCAACACCAGTAGCTACCTGTGGACTTGCTGTGATTGAGTGTTTTTTTAACTCCTCTAAGCATAATTGAACTCTGGAAGAGTTTTTCCTCACTTTTCTTTCTGTAAGCGAGACTATGGCAATAGTTGCTTCTCTAGTGGCATTGCTGATGGCTGACTGCCCCCTCCCCTGACTGCTAGAAGTCTTGGATTTTTTTTGTTTTTAATTGGTCATTCTGGTTAACATTAGTCTTGATTGATTTCTATTATTACTATATCATATTGGCAATCGATAACCTACATTAATCATGCCAATAAAGCTTGCTAATGGTCAATCGATTAGTTTATTTAATTGGCTGTTCTGTCCACTCTGTGTTTTCCATGGAGGCAGCAAGTGTGCAGCTCAGTGTCCACATAGCGCTCCAGTTTTGGCTAAATCTTTGTTTTACAAATAATAACATGCTGTTACATGTGTATTTACAATCTTAGGTTCAATCGTTTTTATTTGTTTTATTTGTTAAAGTCTGTTGGCTGGGGGGGTATTTTTATTATGCCAAATAATTGTCCATCAATTGCTTTGTGGAGTTGTGTTTAATATTTGCATGCTCCTAATGTTACTGTTTATATAATAAGTGTTGCTCTAAAATATCCTGTAACGATCTGGCAGACAGGAAGTGACAAGTTGAATGTTGGACAATAGTCAACCACCCTGAAGTTGTCCTTTAATGTGAGAGCACACTTATGTTCTGTATAAGTACTGTTAAAAATCAATAAAGATAATGTTGGGGAAAGAAGAAAAAAAGAAAAAAAAAGAAAAAACATATTTCTATCATTTATTAATCACACAATTATAGTGTTATTATCAGACAAGATTAACCAAAGTAAATTTAAAAGGAAATGTTCAAATTAAACTTGAATAGTTAAATTAGAAATTAATTCTTATTTTAAGCTACCACAGTATACATGTCGGATTAAATAATACTACTTATACTTCAGCAATAGTATCAAGGTGTTACTTTACTGTATCTCTTATACTATATCCGTTGGTTGTGCTGTTCTTTTTACATCTGTGCAGCTGATCTTTTTTCCTTTTTTTCTGTTTTTCCTTTCCTGTTCTACTTACATTGCAGTGTCTATATAATCTGTAATAATCCCTGCATGAATTATAATAAAGCTATTTATATGCATAAATCAAGCGGAACACTATGGCGATAGCCGTACTGCTCCACTTGTGAAAGAAAATCTGTTGGGCTCTCTTTGGCATCAAGACAATTATTCTTATTGCAACATCGCCAGATAGGATCTACAGAAGAGGATTAGGGCCACTGGGAAAAAAAAAAAAAAAGTTAACAGATTTTTAATTTTTATTTCAGTATGAGACAAAAGTCAGAATTCTGACTTTAATCTCAGAATTCTGCCTGTAATCTCTGGATTCTGACTTTAATCTCAGAATTCTGCCTGTAATCTCTGGATTCTGACTTTAATCTCAGAATTCTGCCTGTAATCTCTGGATTCTGACTTTAATCTCAGAATTCTGACTTTAATCTTATAATTCTGACTCTTTTCTAAGAATTCTGACTTTAATGTCAGGATTCCGACTTTAATCTCAGAATTCTGACTTTGATCTCAGGATTCTGATTTTAATCTTTGTTCTCAGAATTCTGACTTTAATCTCAGAATTCTGCCTTTAATCTCAGAATTTTGATTTTAATCTCAGGATTCTGATTTTCATCTCAGGATTCTGATTTTAATCTCAGGATTCTGACTTTGATCTCAGGATTCTGATTTTAATCTCAGGATTCTGACTTTAATCTCAGGATTCTGACTTTGATCTCAGAATTCTGACTTTGTTCTCAGAATTCTGATTTTAATCTTTGTTCTCAGAATTCTGACTTTAATCTCAGAATTCTGATTTTAATCTCAGGATTCTGACTTTAATCTCAGGATTCTGACTTTAATCTCAGGATTCTGACTTTAATCTCAGGATCCTGACTTTGATCTCATGATTCTGATTTTAATCTCAGGATTCTGACTTTAATCTCAGGATTCTGACTTTGATCTCAGGATTCTGACTTTAATCTCAGGATTCTGACTTTGATCCCAGGATTCTGACTTTAATCTCAGGATTCTGACTCTGATCTCAGAATTCTGACTTAATCTCAGGATTCTGACTTTGATCTCAGGATTCTGATTTTAATCTCAGGATCCTGACTTTGATCTCAAGATTCTGATTTTAATCTCAGGATCCTGATTTTAATGTCAGAATTCTGACTTTGTTCTCAGAATTCTGACTAAATTCTGACAGCTAACAAACATCTTAGCACCAAACAGTAGCCATGTGTGTTTTAGAGACTAGCTCTCTTGTTTTAATCACCTTCTGCTCTTCTATTAATGAAATGGCATAACCGGGGACCCTTCAGGCACGTAAAAAGTCACCTAATTTTCCACCAGTGAGTTACTGGCCCTCTCAAACAACTCACATCTTTGTCAGTGAAGCTGAGTGCTCCACTTCATGGTGACCATATACATTAAGATCCACAATTCTGAGATTAAAGTCATAATTCTGACTTTTTTCTCATATTATACTGAAAAGAATTTAAAAATCAGTTAACTTTTAATAAAAATTCAGTGGCCCTATTCCTGGACACTGTTAAAAAAAGAAAAAAAACGAAGAAAAAAACAAAAAACTATTAACTAGAAAACTGCTTTTCGTATTTAAGCTTATCCTTAATATATAAAATATGATTATTTTAACATTTCAGGGGGAAAAACACGAATTAATGCGTAACATAGGATATCTTATTTTTTCTTATTATGAAAAAAAAAGTATGAGTCATTTTGCTCAGCAAGTAAACGACAAAGCGGTTGTTAACCCATAGGTTAGTGAAATTTAACAGTTGCACAAATGTGATTCTTATAAAACTCTTTTTAAGGTCTTCCTGAGAGTTCGCCCCGCTGGTGTGAGTAGGCGGCTCTCCTCGGTCTACCTTAAATATTTCAGCCCTAGCTTGACAGTGACACACAAACCCTCCTGCTCCGCTCTGTCAAATCACACCGGGGGCGCCGCGGCAGCAGCGAGAGGACGGCGCTGTGGAAAACCTTCCCAGGGAAACTTATTTTAACTGCTCCATGTTGGATTTCCTTAAGATGACACCGGAGTGAAAACCTTCACCCTTTTCAAACACCTCAAGTTAATCCGGTTTACTAACAATAAACCAGCTCAGGCTCGTGAAAAAAAGTCCGGAAAAAAACAAAAAAACAAGAGGAGCTTCAACGGCTAAAATCTAAGAGGATTTTTTGCGGTTCTAGCGTTTCTCCTCGTTATTATCGCTTTAATTTTAATGTTTTTTGGAGGGACTCGCCTCTTCCGAACCGGTTTGGACGTTTTAAGGTGTAAATAAAGCCGGAATAACGCCTCTGTTGTTCTTCTGTGGACTTTGTCGCTCCGCCTCGTCATGTCGAGCGCCGCGCAGTACGCCATGAAGAAACGGAAGAAGCCGGTGCAGAAAACGTAAGTAAACCGAATAACAGACTGATATTATGCTAATAATTATCTGTCTGCCTGCAGCCCCTTTACTGGTAACCATTAAACAAACTTAAAGTAGTTTAGATGCCCGCCTGCATGTTTATGCGCCTGAATAAGGGAAGTTTTATGAGTTATTCGTGTATTTTTTTAATCAGTGTTGCTCGTAAATCTGTGTTTTTTCTGCTTTCTCAAAGCAAGGTGCAGCACAAAGCTGTGTGAACGCATCCAAACCGGTGTACAGCCTGTTATTACACAGTAATAAGCCTGTAATAACCTTTGTAGTACTTTTTAAGTCTCTTAAAATAATAAAAATAAAAATTATCCTGTTGATTTTATGGTTGGGGGCAATTCTGCATTTTAATGGAGAACAGTCTTGTTATTCTAGCTACTGGTTTTACTACAGATTTCTCCATTTGAAGGGTCTCTAAACCTAATTTAAGAATAAATCTAAAGAAGTTTATTTCTATAGCATCAATTCACACCACATGTCATCTCAAGGCACTTTACAGATTCAATTCAACCAGATCATGCAGTCAGATGGATTCAAAGTTTTCTATCCAAGGAAAACCAGCTGATTGCATCCCTCACACTAAGCATGCTTGTAGCGACAGTAGAGAGGAAAAACTCCCTTTTAACAGGAAGAAACCTCCAGCAGAACCAGGCTCAGTGTGAGCGGCCATCTGCTGAGGTCGACTGGGGTTCAAGGAGACAGAAGCAGAGACACAAAAAGCAGCTGTAAAAGGCGGCCCCGTCCAGGAAACACAGTCAGAGAAACAGGACTACACTGGAAAACAGGCCGATCTCCAACATCTATAAACAAAAGTGTTAATGGCAGCAGCACAGCTGATGTTTCTCTCCAGGATGGATTCACAGCCAATTAGCCATTTGGTTTAATGTTAACATTGTGCCTTTTTGAAAGTATCAGGAGATTTAAGACCTGTTTGACCTCTTTATGAAACACTTGACGCCCACGTTTAGAAACATTTCTTTGCTCTACTGCAACATTGTCCACATATTTTCTCTTTCAATATTATCATGTTGCTCATTAACTTACCTGACCCTGCATCCGTTTTGACAACCATCTACATTCTTAAACCTGAAATAATGCTTCGTCATTTCTGTTTTTTTTTACATATAAATATAAGGATTAACAAATAAGCTAACAGGGATTAACAGAACAAACACTATGTACAGTTTATTTTGCCCAAACTGCTGGATTTTAAGTTGACTCACATAGTAAAGTGCATAAAATGGGACGCTGTCTCAGGAAGCCAATAGTGCAAATGATTTTACTCACAATTACAGCTTTGACACATTTTTCCTGCCAAGCAGATCACAGCTGAACATGTCACCCCCCCCTTTAATACCCAACATAACAGCATGGTGGGAAGTAGTATTGGCTGCTTTGTTTAGGATCATTTTGTTGATGAGCTCCAGCTGTTGGATGATGTTCTCAGATTGACTCTACGTTCGCACCGCAGCCTGAAGTGACCCAAATCCCATTTTTTGGCCCGTATGCGACCTGGATCTGATCTTTTTATCGCTGCCTGAACAACACAGATCCGATTTTTGGTTATGTGGTCCTGAATCCGTTACGAATCTGCTCTTTTCAAACGCGACCTGTGTCTTTATCCGACCTGAACTCCATTAATACCGGACAGTGGTCACTATTCTGGGTCTTGATACGCAGAAGCGGCAAGAAAAACTACAAACATGGCGGACGATGATCCGGAGAGCAGTATTTATCTTTAATCATCTTGAAAAGATTGAGTTTTTATGGTTGGGAACGATCGCTAGATGCTCTCTGGCACTACCGTCCATGTTTACTTCAGTAAACACAGAGCACGCTGGCCTGTGATGTCATTGCGTCCTCTACTGTACCGTTGTATGTCGCATATATCTGGAAAAGTGAACAGCAACACAAAAAATATCGGAATTGAGCATCACGTCCTGCAGTGTAAACGCAGCCTAAGTTTGGTTTTAAGCGGAGCTTATAGTTGAGCTTAAGCAAGCCCCCATTATCACTCCTCCACCACCATGCTTTCCACTTGCTTCTAGGTGTTTGTCTTTTTTACTTTGCTGAAACACCCCAAGGACACCTTGTCCAGTCTTTTCCTAACTGTCTTGTCTTAAATTCCAGCTTTAATCCAGCCTGTAGAGTCTCAGATTAAACTCTTGTGCAGTTCTTCTGAGGATTTTAAGATTCAATGTTTTAGTGTCTCTGTTGTGGGTTAAAGCATTTCATAAAAGAGAGTCACACGGTTAAAGGGTAAATATTTTTCATCAGTCTTTATACTTCAATGTAAAACCATTTAACTTATTCAGAGTAAAATTAGGCTCTTCTGAAGTTCCATGTAATATCTTTCGGCATACAGTCGCTCACACACTGACAGAAGCATGGCTGCCGTACGAAGACACCTCTGTGCCCTCTGACCTCCATCAGCAGGCGATGGACCCTCCTGCAACCTGTGCCTCTTTCAGCCTTATTTAGATATCAGGTCCTGTTAAAACTGACTTATTTATTCACATCTGCGCAAACTTTCTGTAGACAGCTGCTGAAATGAAACCCACTTCTTAAGGCGCAAAGTGACTGAGGTGGGGTCTGCTTCTGGTGTGAAGGTTAACCGGCCTCTATCCGCCCCGACTTCACAACACACAGCCTTTTTTGGACTTAACAGGCCACCGTAGTAGTGATAGAAAACAAACTGAATTTGTTCTGTACCTGATCGTCCGTCAGTTTTAACACCAGAGAGAATTTCTTTTTTAAACTTGTTTAAAATTGTGTATTTCTGATTTGTATTTTCTGTCGGAATTATATTTCTATAAGTATATATATAGCTTTAAATGTTCAGAAGAGCTATCCGGAGCTCACATGTTCATCTAGTGCACAGTTAGGATTAGTTTAAAATGTGTGGCTGAAGGTTTTTAAAGCAGCTCAGGAAGTTTTAAAAAGTTCTTAAAGCTAATATTTTGAACTGGATGAAGTTTAAAGTCACCCGTTCTGTAATTTAAGCAACAGGTTAGGTGTCTGGGCGACCCTGATCCTAATCAGTCTATAAGTGTGGATATGAAGGATATTTCTGTTGAAATAAAACCACATAAGCCACTCAGAGCGTCATAAAAGCCATTTTTAGCCGTCCTCTAGCCTCCTTCCTGCTGTCTCAGAATATGGAGGCTCCTTTAACCCACTCTGTTTCCTTTATTGTAAAACAACCAGTTTTTATTTCAACTTTTAACACAACCAGAGCCCAAAGCGAGCCGCTCCGAAACAGTGTGAGCGGAGATCCGTGGCAGAACCCCGGTCTGACTGTGTGTGTGGCGCTACCTGCATTAATCATAATCAGGACGTGCAGCGAGAGCGCTCTCACGCAATGTTTCCACGAGGGAGGAGGGAGAGCGGGAGGATGGCGTAATCTGAGACTCACTCACCATTTTTTTCTCCTCCTCTGACTGCCACAACATACTTTTTTTTTTCCTGTCTTTCCTTATGTCTTTGTGTGTTTTGTTGAAGGAGGTGGGGGGGTGTTTTTCCCCCTCCCTCCCTCGACTCAAATTAACATAGTTTTGTGTCACGCAAACGTTGCATAAGTCTGCCATATTCGGGTTTTTGAAAAAGTGGCTCCCAGAGAGTTTATCTTTCTTTATTTGTAGGGAAATGGAGCTGGTTGGGCGAGTTATGTGTTCAATCGCTCTGACTGGAGGAAATAGTGGAAACATTTACATCGGTGCCGATGTCTGTGGATGAATTATGTAACCAGAAAGCAGGAAAATAAGTTGTATTCAGTTACAGAAAGGCGAGAGCGTTGAGGCAGCTTTAATAATAAGTAGAGGTCACAGATGTCGTATCTGGTGTGAAAGTTCATCCCAGACGTGTTGGAGGCTGAAGTCACGGCTCTGTGCAGGCTGGTTCGCTTCCTCCCACAGATTCATCACAGCAGCTGAATATTTTAAAGGTTGCTCATTCACTTCCTCTCTGACAACATTAAGAACTAATCTTTTTTTCTCACTCTAACTCGTTTTTACAAAAGTAAAATCTTTGTATATGAGGAACTGGGGACGTCCCAGTAGAGATTTCTTTGTTCCAGAATTGTTTAAGGTGGCAAATCATATATAGACACTCCAGAACTGCTGAAGGCTGTAGGCAGACTGTCCTTTAAGGCAGCGGTCCCCAACCACCGGTCCGTGGGTCATTGTGGCACAGAAAAAAGTATATATATATCTATAATTTGAGTGAGGTTTTATTTTGAAAAATATAAAAAATTGCGGTATTCTCTCCCAATTACATAATTCGGTGCATCTGTGCCTCTTGACACAGGTTAAGACTCATCCTATCTATAACATCGTATCTTTGTGAGGCGTGATTTTCTGCGGTTACAGCCGCAGTCGTATCATTTTACTTGATCGTATTCCCTGCCCCCCCGCCTGGTCCGTGAAAATATTGTCTGACATATAGCGATCCGTGGTGCAAAAAAGGTTGGGGACCGCTGCTTTAAGATGCTTTCTTTCTGTTATTAACTCAACATTTCCTCTTAATTTCCTTTTAAAGAAGTTTGATTGTTTCTTTGAATATACACAAATATCCAGATTAGGGGTGTGCAAAATAATCCTCATGATGATGCATCGTGATTCTAATTTTCGTGATCTACTGCATCGATTCTTGACGCCAAGTATCGATTATTAATTTGAAAAAATAAATAAATAAAATTGCATGAATGGTTGGCGATCATCAGCCAAAAACAAGTGTAATACAACTTCCAGTCCAGTAGATGACGCAGCGGATGTGTTGACGCACGCTGCCTTGTGTCACAAGCATTTCTGGCCGCGGGATACTGCGCCGAGTCATTCAAAAACAAAACATGGAGGAGAAAATATTGCAATGCATCGCAATAATTCAAGTATTGTGATGCATCGTGATAGAATCGCATCGTGGCCTGTGAATCGTGATTCAAATCGAATCGTGACTTCTTTGGCAATACCCACCCCTA